TTGTATTAAAGTCAGAACAATGAACACAGAGAACATGAACAAGTGACTGGTGGCATGGACATTATTTTAGGTAAAGTGTTGATAGTTGACGTTAGTTGATTGTTTGATAAGTATGAAATTCTAACAACAAAATCATTACAGGCAAACATTGTTAGACACAGATAAATATTTTTTGAGAACACAAACATACAATCACTTTACACAACACTGGTCACAACAGTACAAACAGTCGATTGGAGACATTGGAATTTTTACACTAGACTGTTTATTATCGCATTCAGAAAGATTGATCAAAATCAACATGATTTCTGGAACTACAATAGTTGATGTGAGCTGAAATTAAGTAAAATAGAAAAAAATGATAGAGGCAAAAAAAGTAAAATAATCACAGCATGACAGAAGCAAGAACACATTGAATAGAACTTATTTATTTCATTCACAGGTCACAATACATGTGGATTAGAATCGTTCTCAAAACACTAAACAGGTACATGTTATACATGTGTTAATGACTGGCTACACAAACTGCTGAACAAGACTATGCACACTTATTACTTTATTTCTAGAAAGAATTACAGCTTACAAATATTTCAGGTAAATTGTTGTTACAGCAGTGAAATTTCTTTAAATCTTAACAATAACATTTTAGCTGCATACGTGTAGATAAACACAGACATGAAATGATTACACCCAAAACATTTTTGACACTACAGAGCGGTTTCTCATTTATTCAGAGTAAAGATTTTTGACATGGATAACCATCACCAACAAAAAACACTGCATGAACACGAGCACAAATCATTTTGGAGACATAGACATTATGTATTTAACCAGCCTGATTTATTATTACCACATTCAGAAAAAATCACAATTTTAAAGCTCAAGAAACATATTAATTAGTTTTTTTTTCAGGCAAAATACAAGATCTTATGTTTAAAGGCACGAACATTTTTAGAGTTTTCGTTTGTTCCATTTCAGAGATAAATTTCAGGTGACCTAAAATCCAATATAAATAATGTTTGTTTGACCACATAGATCATTGCTGATAGATCATTTTCTGTATACGGCCCCAGAATCTGGAACAAACTTCCAGAATACATTAGAGATACCACCTCACTGCACACATTCAAGACACTCCTGAAAGCTCACCTGTTTCAGGAGGTGCACCATCAATAATTTTTCTTCTTTTTGGTGCCCCATCAGCGCCTTAGAGCAAACTTTTTGATTTTGGCGCTTTATAAATTTCTTTTGATGATGATGATGATAGAGATTTCTGGCTGGTCAAGGAATGCATGTAGACCAATCCAGGCACGTTGAACAATTCTATCATGAAGGCCCCCCCTTCAATGGCGACTGCATACAATGTGTAGCTAGAAGCACTCAGCAGTGTAAAGATGTGGTCTGGGCATTGATGCAATTAAGTGAGGAAAAATGATTTAAGGTTCTGCTGATGAGGTAGCTCAGTCAGGAGTGCCAACAAACAGCTAATGGCCTCTGCTGATGAGGGAGCAGGGGGAGACGACTGGGAGGGTGATTCCAATGCATTGCCAACAACCTGCCACTCGTGCAAAAGATGGGTATGAGCTCAGGACTCCCAAAAAAGGTGCCATCTATACTGTTCATAAGGGTTGACTCTTCATCCAAATTGGCAGTCACCCCTGGGTTTTGGAAGGAGCAAACCTGATGAACTGTACATGTAGTTGTGCTGAACATCTTTCCATTTTTCAGCTGGATTCTTGACACATGACTTGGTTGACGAGCGCAGCAGGCTATGATTCTGCTATACACAACTTAAAATGAAGTCTGGTCGATCAAGTTGGAAGCGCTGTCATGGCAAAATATCACATCGACAAAATAGTCCACATCGACAAAATTATATGTCAGAGTCATCTGTGCCAGTGTCCCTGTCCAAAATAAACATCCTTTTGCCTTTACTTTTGATGGTAAAGTGGAGAGCTCATCCTTACTATGGCTGGAGTCTGCCAATCTTTAAAGGTTAATTGAACACAACACCACCTAATTTCCTTCATGTGCATTGCTGTATGTGGTACTTTCACAGTTTCAGAAATATCACTTTATCAGACTTTTCAGCTTCATATATTCCTGGAGGAATAATAGGCCTATCCTACATGAGAAGTCAGGCATTCAACAAAAAAAAGTCATTTAACACAAATTCCACTTTTACTTTGACATTCTTAAATCAAAACCTTTTTTTTTTAAACTAAACCAATTTTAAGATTGGATTGATAGGCTTTCGAGTCATAGTGTTTAAGTTCACTTTTATTAATCCTGGCCATCTTAATTTGGGTTTTGTTCTGTTCTTGTTTTGTCTTATTTTGAAACAACAACCTTGCCTTGTTATCATTGCTGTCTTTATTCAGTACCTCCTTGCTTTTGTTTACACTTATTTGTATTGTTTCATGACTTCTTTATACTTGTACTCTTGTCTTCTGTAGAGTTACATTGTCATATTCTCTGCATAGGCTTATGTTTGTTTCAAATCTTGGCCGAATAAATAATAAAAATAATAATAATAATAATAAAAATTAAGAGCCAATTTCTTCACTTAATTTGTAGAAACACAACTATACATACCTAGGCCTGTGGCTAACTTCTAGAAGTTCATGGTTTGTTCGGCCACGTACAAACACCATCTTCTGGTTGTCGCATAGGCCACACGATGCAACATTAATTTGGTCGTGTTGTGTGCAAATCTGGATTTTTGCATTTTTGTAGTTTTGATCCAAGCCCGACCTCTATCATCTAATCTATCCTGTTCTTGAATGTATAGACATCCTTTGCACTTAACTTTTGTCAAGGTCAAGGATTTCTTAGTCCACATGAACTTGGATTTTTAGGGGCGAATATTTGCGTCACAAATCTCTCCATCACTCACATCATGTTTCGATTTCCCGCCATAGCCGTGCGTGCAAAGAACTCGAGTACACTTGGGCGGGTCAGGTAGCTGCGGGCGTGTATATCACGTGATGGCTATAATCGAACGCTGTAGTCTCCGTGAGGCGCTTCTTTCCGTAGCCGCCCCATTCCTAATTCCCGGGGCCCTCGACTCCATCCCCGTTTGCAGTGGCGTAGCCAGGAAGTTTTCGGGGGGGGGGGGGGGGGGCTGGAACATTTCATGGGGGGGGGGGCGTCATGTAGATCAATGATAATTTTTTTGAAACTCAAAATCTCAGTGGGGGGGGGGGGGGGGGGGGACTGGAGGGGGGGGGCGGTGGGGCGACAAGGATTCATGGGGGGCTGTCTCCCCCCCCCCAACGGTCCCCCCCCCCCCCGTGGCTACGCCACTGTCCGTTTGTTGCCAAATACGTGTACTTTTTAGCTTAAAATTACTTGTGACCCATTTTTAATGTCATTAAATTTAGTCCAAAATTCGAAATCAAATCAGGGGCCTATCCAGGAATTGTTTGCAGGGGATGTCAGGGCCCGTCTCCGTGAATTTGTTATGTCTGATTGTTGAGGACATTTTTACTGATGCACTATTGTTATAATTTTTTTCGGGGGGGGGTGGTAGTCAGAGCAGGCGGGAAGCCCCACCCCCGCCTGAAAATCGGCCGATCGAGTGTTAATGTTCCTTAACGTGGGGCTAGTTGAAACAAACATCGGAAATCGGTAAATTGCACCAAATTTAAATCTCTCTTTTAATTTTAACGGGTAGGCAAACTCAAGGTTTGTGACCGCGACTCCGGGAGTGCGCTTACGGCTGGAGTGAATGTCACTTTATGTTAAACTCGAGGCAAACTTTTACTGTGCAAGGCACTGTATCACTGGGCAAAAAAATATCAAAGTGCGCAAGTTCATATCAGTGGACTTTACACGAGTAAGCTACTCGAACGCTCCCAAAATCAGCGAAGTTATTTTAAATCACGTGACAAACTTATCCAATCGGTTGATACGTTTCATGCACGCGTATAAAAAGAAATTACGGGCAGGTGTTTTTTTTTAATTGGGCGCAACACGTGCTATACGCTTTGAGATGAGCGGGGTTGATGACAACATTGCTCTGCTATGGTGGCCCTGAATGGACACCACACCTCGCAAAAATCTTTGCAAATAAATATCGCAAAAAAAAATCTTTGCTGATACTTGCCAGACTATTTGCGATGCACAAATATTATCAGCAATATCTTTGCACATATTTGGCAAACTATTATCAAAAATATTATCGCATATATCTTTGGAAATATTTGTGATGTCGCCAAGGGCGGATCCAGGGGGGGGGGGGCCAAAGGGGGCCATGCCCCCCCCCCAAAAACGAAACCATTTTTTTTTTTTATGTGACATCCCAATAAAGGAAGGCAATGAGCACACCACCATCTTTTCCTCAAAAAAACATTGGTTAAAGTGGTCAGAAGTTGCCTCAGATCGCACCACAGAGCATCTAGAATCCAATTTTTTTTCGGGGCCCTTAAGCTGGCCCCGAACCCCACGCCGTAATTTTTTTTGACCCACTTTTTTGGGGGACCAATTTTTTTTGGGCTCCCCCGAAAATTGTGTTCTGGATCCGCCCTTGGATGTCGCAAATTTTGTCGTATACTTTGTTGCATACATTGTTGCATATTTTGCATATTTGTACCGGGCTATTTTTCAAGAAACTACAGGCCTTAAAGTTGTTTGAGTTCCAGCCTTCATTTTGCTAACATGTGCATATGGGAGGGTAGTCGGGTACAAATATTCAAAATATGCAACAAAGTATGCAACAACAAAGTAGGCAACAACATTTGCGACATCACAAATATTACCAAAGATATTTACGATACATTTTGCAACATCGCAAATATTTTCTTGAATATTTGCAAAGATATTTGCGATAACATTTGCGACATCGCAATTTTTTTCGCAAATACGTACACAGATATTTTTGATATGTGATGTTCCTTATGGGGCACCGTACTCGGCAGTCTGCTGCTAGCGCCCTGTCGTACTCGCCGTGCACGTGAACAATCCGTCCGTACCAGCATGCACAACATGCTTGACATGAGGTCGTGTACTGTGCATGTGATTTAGGCGTTTGACAAGTGACAAGTGAATATCAACGTTTGCGAAGGTGAGAGATAAAGCTGTGATATGTTCCTTGCTCCCTTACAGGCAAATAATACTAAATTCTTCAAATCTCTGCATCACTAAAATATATATGTATCACTAAAAATCTATGCATTTTCCCCAGAAATACTCATAAAATCTTGGCAGGATTTCGTGCCAGTTTCCGGACAGCCCCATTAAAACATGCGTGAGCACGATGAATGAGCATCGTTGGGTTTAGATTGGGCCTGTACAAATTTCGTCATGCAGTGTTACCATACCTAGTCTCATTGTTGAAAGAAGATCTTTAGGTTCAGTCACTTAAATCAAAGTATTGCTATCTTTACGGAACCTTCCTTAGTATTTAGTCAGAACAGAAAAGAAGTGGTGTCCGGAAATTGGGCACAACGTATGAGTCCATCCTGACGCTGTTTTTTTTTCTTTTCATATATCTCAAAGACTCAATGAAGGTCAGTCATTGCAAAATGATAAGACATGAATCTGGGACTGAGAAACATTTCCAATTTTTTTTTAGGAAATAGGCCTACTTCTTTCCCCCTCAGTCTTGTGTTTAGTAACGACAGAGTCCTTAGCCATGCTTAGACGTCCCAAGCCGGGAGAGACCGAGGAGGACTTGTTGAGACAGCAGCAGGAGTTCCTGGCACAACAGCAGACAGCAGCTGCAACGGTGGTGAAACGCCCAGACAAACGGAAACCTTCAGCTGATGGCAGCGATTCAGCAGACAAGGTGATTAGCGTAAAGAAGGATGTGGTGCAACTTGCAGGTAAGACATGAACGACTGTATTCTTAATCACAAGCCATTTGATGTGTTCAAATGGAGTCCGGCATGCACAATGAGGGGCTGTGCCAAATATTGGATCATCCACCAAATATCCGAGTAGGGTACAAATGTGTCACTGTGTTTCTGCAAAGTGATAAAATTAAAGAATGCAGAAAGATTCTGCGCAAAAAGGTGTTTTAAGGAAGGCTTTTTTATAAACAAGGAACTGTGGCAAGTTTCTGTAATCCTGACATTACAACAGAGGGGAATTTAACCCAGTGGAATTTTAGTACATTGAGTACAAGGCTAATTGTTCTGTCATTTTGACAGCTTGTGATGACTGGACGTGCTAACCATGATGATGAGACAACAAATTGACAGTGGCCCCAATTTGCCTTGTTTTCATATGTCTAACCAGTTAAGTGGTAATATCGATCTATGTCAATGTCTGACCTTCTCATTAATAGTATAACTCTTAAAAAGTCTGATATTTCCAAAATAACCAAAGTACCGCACGTGAAGGAAATGTCATCTTTAAAGATACGGTACAGTACGGATAAACATTCCAACTTATCATCAAAATGATGTAAATTTGCTATCAAACTGGAACTCGGACACGGTCACTGGCACAGATGATGGCATACCGGTAGATTGAAACAGTTACAGTTTTGTCACTGTGAATGCTGACCATGCGAAAATGAAATATTTGGGGACAGTGAATCCCACCTGACCAGATTTCATATAGTAATAAAGCAGAAACACAGCCTCGTCAACTAAGCCATGCGAAGAAGTCAGCTGAAAAATGTTACCGAGTCAGTGTTGACCACAACTACATGTACCTGTAGTTCATCATTTAGGTTTGTCCCTCCAATTCTGATGGCGATTCAACTCATACCATAAATGGCACTTTTTGACATATTTTGAGAGCCCCATTGGGAGGGACACACCGTTTGCACACATTTGTGCGTATCTTCGTAGCAACTTCTTCTGAGCATCAGGAGTCATCAGCAACACTTCAGAATCTGCCTCTCATCAGTGGACTCGGCCAGCTTTCCCTACGTATCTCTAATCATTGATGGGGTAATTCTTTACACTCTTTGCCGACTGAGAGAAACATCAGCAGACAACCTTCACTTCATCTTTCATTAGCAACGCTTCAGAATCTGCCTTTCATTTATCTGTGGCCTCAGCAAGCTTTCCCTAATTTTCTCTGATCATTGGTGGGGTACTTCTTTGCACTCCTACGGTACATGTAGCTGCCTGAGAGAAACATTTGCAGACAACCATCAGCAACATCTTTCATCAGCAACGCTTCAGAATCTGCTACTTGTCAGTGGTCTCGGCCAGCTTTCCCTAAGTTTCTCTAATCATTGATGGGGTACCTCTTTGCTCTATTAGCTGACTGAGAGAAACATCAGCAGACAACCTACACTTCATCTTTCATCAGCAACACTTCAGAATCTGCGTTTCATTTATCTGTGGCCTCAGCCAGCTTTCCCTAATTTTCTCTTATCATTGATGGGGTACTTCTTGGCACTCCTACATGTAGCTGCCTGAGAGAAACATCAGCAGACAACCTACACTTCATCTTTCATTAGCAATGCTCCAGAATCTGCCTCTCATCAGTGGTCTCGGCCAAATTTCTTTAAGTTTCTCTAATCATTGATGGGGTACTTCTTGGCACGCTTAGCTGACTGAGAGAAACATCAACTGACAACCTACACTACATCTTTCATTAGCAACGCTTCAGAATCTGCCTCTCATCATTGGTCTCGGCCAGCTTTCCCTTTCTAATCATTGATGGGGTACTTCTTGGCACTCTTACTATCTTAGCTGACTGACATGACTGAGAGAAACATCAGCTGACAACCTACACTTCATCTTTCATCAGTAACGCTTCAGAATCTGCCTCTCATCATTGGTCTCCGCCAGCTTTTCCTAAGTTTTTCTAATCATTGATTGCGTACCGGTACTTCTTGGCACTCTTAGCTGACTGAGAGAAACATCAGCAGACAACCTACATGTACAAGTACATCTTTCCTCACTTGATGCCTGTCCGAGCCACATCTTCACCCTGCTGAGTGCTTCAAGATGTCCCAGTCTTTGACCTACGCAGAAAATCAACTTACTCTGGCTTCCCTCCATGCTGCCAAGAAGATGTCATTTTCTTTTCTTTTAATGATTTTATGTCATCTGATTCTTTGAAACAGAATAACTAAAATTCTATACAAATATTGTTATGTCTCGAAAGTTAATATATCAAAATTTACCTAATAGAACAATATCAGTTCACATTAGCTAAAATAGTAATGTTTCTTGAATTATTAAATTGTGACTCTTTCTGGTTCTGGTAATAAAACAGACCGGTTAAAAAAAGTCCACGTCTCCAAAAATCTCCATGATTTGTGCAGGTGTTCATTGCTTTTGTAAGTGATTGCTATCCATGTAATCAGCTCAGTCAAACAAAGTTATTGTGTGTGATCATTTTGTTTTGGTTATTTTTTTATCTATAGTACAATAAATTGTTATTGTTAGTTAAAGAGATTTTGAGAAACTTAACTGCTGTAACATCAACATCAATTCACCTGAAGTATAATTTCTAAGCTGTGATTCTTTCTGAATAAAGTATGTACATGTATTAAATGCACAGCCTGGTTGTTAAGTTTATCCATAGAGCAAGGACAACAGATCTGTAATCATTTACACATACAAGAGTTAACTGTTAAATCATTTTGTCACTCTGAATGTATGAAATAAAAGTTGTATTCAAATTGTTCTTGCCTCTATTATTTTATTACTTTTCACTTTTCTAGACAGCCTAATTCTCATATTTGGAAACCAAAAAAAAGGACTTATGGAATAATTAATATTTGCAGCTGGGGACAGACTCATTTGTGGAAAACCTACATTGATCTGCACTGGCTGTTTACAAAATGTACAACAACCACGTCTCCATCCTGCCAAAGAAGTGCCTCAAGACGTACAGTGCCATTTCTCAACCTGCACGATGGGATGAATTTATTGTTACTTTTGTTGCGTGGCTTATTGCAGTTTTCATTATTAACAATTTCGTCATTTTTAATTCATCTGATTCTTTACTCTGAATAAAAAAGAACAATTAAAAACTCAGAAAATGTTTGTCTCAATCACTTTGTCTCGTGCAATATTTAACTTGGATCAAGTTTGAGTTAGTTTCCTTGTGTCGTTTGTAAATAGTGATGCTTTCGGAATGTGATAATTTACGCCATGTCCATTTGTCCAGTCATTTGTGCCTGTACTCTGTGTTCATTGTTTTAAAATAAATTTGTGTTCTTAGTGAAAAAGAACTTGTATCTTGTCTATCATCATTGTGTTTGTAATTTAAGTATTTAAGACAGCCTAATGTTATCATTAAAAAGGGTTAAAAATAAACTCATGTCAACTATAAACACTTTACCTGAAATAATGTGCATGTCTCCAGTCGTTTTTTCATGTTTTGTCATGTTGTCTGTGTTTGTTGTTTTGTATGTGATTGTAATGATGATCTGTGTTCTCAAAAATAAAATAATAATACAAATAAAAGCCTTGTCCAAAAATGTCTTGCCTGTCGTCATTTTGTCATTGTAATTTCCTTTTTTAGACGTCTTGATGTTACTTCCAAAAAGTATTAAAAGAACAACACTATCATCAACGTTTTTCATGGTCAGCATCTTCAGCGACAAAACTGTACCGTTGGTGCCGGTCCTGGGGGTCTATTTCATGATCTCTGCCAGTTTCCAAGTCCGAGTTTGAAAGCAAATTTACATTGTTTTGATGATAAATTGGAGTGTTACTCATATTGCAGCTTGAATCTGCCATCTTTAAAGGTTAATTGAACATCAACACAGCACAATGTCCTTCATGTGCAGTACTTTGGTTGTTTCGGAAATATCAGAATTTTCGGTTTTATTTTCACGTTCATGAGAAGGTCAGACATATACATGTAGTAGCATTATTTTTTCACAAAATTGACCTGTAGGCCTACTATATTTAATGTCAGGATTATAGAACTTTGCCTAATTTCCCTGTAAAAGGAGTTATTGTAACCTTTTTACCCAGAACCTTAAGTAACCCTAACCACCCTGAATCCTTCAAAATCCTCTTTGCCAAAGTGGAGGAATTTGGAGGATTGAGGTTACATGGCAAAAGTGCATTACTGATTTCGTAGTGATGCAATTTGTCAAGGTCTTGGGCCGGACCTTGTGTTGTTTTTGCTCAGCCATGCTTAAATATAGGTCTGGATTGTGCTTGAAATCCTCCGTACTGCTCCAGGATGTCACTGGCCAAGCCTCAACATATTGACAGTCACTGCTGCAGGATTTTGCAGGATTCAGGCAGTGGTCATCTCTCCATGGACCATATTCAAGAAATAATGGAGGATTTTGCAGTATTGAGGCTGTATGCTATTTTTCCATGGGGCCAATTGGAGGATTTTGCAGGATTGAGGCTACATCCTAGCAAAAAGGCCTAGGGAGTTAGGGTTTTACATACATGTTATTTCATTACTTTAAAACTCATTGATGCATGTGCTGCTGATACTTGGTTGATTTTGAGCCAAATTCAGAACTCATCTCAGGACACTAAAATTGATAGCAACTTTCACAACGGTGCAATGTAGCAAGCATTATACTTTTGTTGTTCCAGTATTTACAGAATGAAATTTCAGTTTATCAACAAAGAGGGACTGCACCAGAGTGTTCAATTAACCATTACCTGATACTCATGTCTACCCCCACTGATGATGGTCTGCCCCGCCCACCAGTTTCATCCGCCACTATTCCAGCACGCACTCGTGCGAGTGGGTCTAGCTGCTGCCACATGATGAGTTCGTGGTCAGCTAGATTGAAGATGGTGGGAACTTGCACACAAAGTACAACACAAAGTGAGTACAATACAAAGTGAGTACAATAGTCAGGTATGCAACAGGGAAGTCACACAAAAAGAGGAAATTCAAATCTTTCCAAGACTTTGTACATGTACAGTGG